CTCCTGCCCGTGCCCCAGGGCAGGGCAGGCCATGGAGCACCCTGCTGCTGCGCTGGCCCCGCAGGCCATGGGCCCAGCTGCCCTCCAGGTGTCCCTGGCGTTTCGGAGGCCGATCTTGCAGGGCAAGTGAAGCATTCACTGGCCGGAGACCCTGGGTGAACGACGCAGCCGCTCGCAGCTGAACCATCCGCCTTTGGCGCTGCAAAACTCTCAGATCTCCTCCTTGCGATTATTTCTCTGGGCAAAACATGCAGTTGAAATCTCGCTTGCCTCCTTCCCTTCCTCGTGCTCCCCCTCCCTGCGGATTACTGCTCCTCCCTCGTGCTAAAGCCGTGCCAGAGTTCAGCAGCTTATCGGGAGCTTCCCCATGTTATATCAGGCGCTCCCAGGTGAGGCACCGCGYGCCCTGCGTTCTGCCCGCCCTTGCTTTTCCACCTGACCAGCTTCAAGGGCTGTTTCCCATCTTTCCAGCTCACTGGTGCCTTGTGAATCCTACCGGAAGCCGTGCCAGACTGCGGAGGCGGCTCAGGCCTCCGCCAAGACTTCCCTGCCAGGGTCCAAATCCCTGGCAGCGAGAGGTGAGAGGCGGCCCTTTCAGCCTGGCATATTCACCTGGGGAGGGAATAGGAGCAGCTGGCACACGCATGGAGCACCCGAGTGCTGCCAGGCTGCAGTGCTTTCCGTCTCARAGTCATTCCTTGTATTCCTTGCATTTTTTTGGTGGGATTATCTTTTTTTTYCCCCTCCCTCTAATATTGGCTTGGTGGGGAATGACTGGAGGATCCAAGGTCCTCCAGTTTCCACCTGTTTTATTTACTTATTCTTTTCCAACCCGTCTTCACCGGTTGCAGCGACGGTCACGAATTCCACTGGCGTATTTTGCCCCAAACAAGCGCTATCGGAAATCCAGGCTGCTCCTTTGCTCCCTGTTGTTCTGCGCTCCTGGCGCCCAGGTAAAGACAGGCCGTGCCAGTGTGGGGGAGAAAAGCTTGAATTCGTCCCTACGTAGCTGCGTTCAGCAGCGCAGGGCCGTGTCCCTGCGTGGGGATGTCCCCTCCCGTGCCAGAGGCCGAGGCGCGGCGCGGAGGCTGCGGATGCTCCCTGCGGAGGCTGCGGAGCCTCCCTGCGTGGSTCCCGGGGCTCGGGCCGTGTCCCCGCGGCCCCGCTGCCCTCGCCGTGGCGCGGCGCGGGACTCGCGGCCGGCGCTTGTTTTGTCGCCGTTTCCCGGAGCCGTTTGCCAGGTAAAATCGCCGGGCTGCGGGCGAGGGCGCGCAGGGGGCGAGGAGGAGGAGGACGGCGAGCCTGCCTCCCGCCCCGCCGTGCGGGCTGCTAAAGCCCTCAGTAAATAGGGCACGGGCGGAGGAGGGGTTTCCTCCTCTYCCTCCTCCTCCTCGTTGCGTGCGCGGCCCCTCGCGCGGCATCGCGAGCGCCCAGGAATGGTTCTCCCTGGCGAGCCGTAAGTGCCGTGTCGGTGCCCGGCGCCCGGCCGGGGCGGTGGGGGAAGAGGCCCCGGGGCCGGGGGGAGCCGCGGGGCCGCCCCGCACGCGCGGGGGGCCGCCCGCGGCCGCGGCATCACCTGAGGCTGCGGGGAAGGCCCCGCCGCCGCCTCCTGCCTCCCGAACAAAGCTCCGCCTGGGCAGCCGGGCGCTGAGCCCGCCGGCCCCGCTGCCGTTCGCAGGGATGCCCGAGACGGCAGGATGCTCCTCGTCTCCCCGGTGTCACTCACGGCACGGGCTGCTCACGGGCGTTCTGCAAAGGCTCTGGCTCTGCGCGAGCGCCTCGCGGAGCAGCGACAACCCAGCGCTGCTCGGCGGGTGCGGGCTTGGCCTGCAACAGCCTCATAATGTCTCCCAGTCCCCACGTTAAGGGGGGCCTGTGGAGCCCCTGCCCAGGTGGGGCCAGGGTGCCCAGTCCTGCTGTCGCTTTGGCATCCAGCTTCTGGTTGTGACCTCTGTGTCTGTTCTGCCTTTTCCTGCCCCTTACATACTGCTGTAAAGGCTGAGATTTGCTAGGCTTAGCCCATGTGCCTAATGCATGTGTCTCCTGAATGAGGAAAGAATTAATTGTGCCCACTGCAAAGTATATGAGGTGTTTGAGTTTGTGGCCTGTTTAAGGAGATAGTGGTATTTATTATATTCATTGGTTTATTTTATTTTATTTTTTTGGCAGTTGTCATTGGGAAGCAAACTATATGCAACTAGGCTTTTATCCAGTAAATGCTACATTTTGTCTGTGTGACCAAATAACATGAGAAACATATTCTGTAGAAGAAAAAACCTCAGTCCTTTATGGTGTTATGCCATTCTACCCTCTAGGTCATTGCTGTCCTCTGCTCCTGTCCCCCGTTGAACTCACTGCAGCTCTGATTCAGTGTGCGTTGGGTGATCGGACTCAGTGGATATTGGGGTGTTTGGTCACCAGGGCATGGGGCAGCTTCTGACCTGGGCTTGGTGGCTTTCAGACGCCCACCCAGCTCCAAGGAGCTCTGTCCTTCAGGACAAATACCCCCCTTAGGCTGCAGCTCCAAAGGGTTTCTTTTCTGCAAACAGCAGATAATTCACAAGGATAATTGCAACTGGGCGGACAGAGCCTGGTTGTTGCAAATGTGGGATTTTCGTGGCAATATGCAGCCTCTAAGAATGTTGTTATTAGAGCTATAGCTGGAGAAAGGACAATTTTCTTAGGCATCTGTTGGGGATGTCCAGCTTTATCCCACCTGTTTCATCTTAGTGGAGCCCAACACTTTATCTTGGGCTTTGTGTGTCTTGACTGTAACAAGAAAAATCAGTCAGCACGAGCACATGAAGTGCTAATTCACACTGCACTGATATGAACTTCTGTTATGTTTTTCTTTTTCTCTAGCTACTGAGTGCAAGGTTGAGATTAATGACTCAGAGCATTAAGGGTGGTTAAACAACTGACAAATGTCATATTCTATCCGGAATATGCAACAATTAAATTACTTAATTACATTGGAGCATCTGTAACAGCAACTGCTAGAAAGTAAATACAAGCTCACAGCATCACGGCGATGCTAGTTTGGGGGCTGTTGCTAGTAATGCTAGCAGATACAGCCCTGCATATATAGGGTAATCTTGAGTTTTAGAGTGCTTTCTAAGCCAAAATAATATTGTTTTTTCCCTGAAAAAACACTTGGATTCTAAAGCTGTTGCTTTTCTCATTTATTGAATATGCTGTCAATCATAAAGGTGCGTAGTTATAATCTGCTGTGTCTGAACTTTACTTTAGATCTCCTTGTCTGTCTTTGCCCCCTTGTCATCCCCCACATAAACTGAAGAAACATGATTTATTTTTTATAATGCAACCTTAAGACAGGAAACAAGTACATAAAGACAGAAGAGGGAACAAGGGAGCAGAGAGCCCAGCATGGTGAGCTGTGGTGCCAGCAAGTAAGCTGTGGAATAGGATAGTCCCAACGTGTGTGTCCCTTGCAAAAAGAGTGTGTGTTTGTTGCAAAAAAATGTGCAGCCGTGGGTGTGTTTGGGTCACGCAGTGAAAGGCTGTGCCCTTCTCACCTGTATGTTCCTGTCCCTGTTCTTACCCTCCTCTTAAAGTCACTGAAAGTTACTTTAGGGCAGTTACGTTCGGGCCAGAAGCCAGGGAAATCTGCTTCCCATGCTGCTAACCAATACAAAACCCCAAATTCACTGACCTTCCTCTGTACCCTCAGAGTCACCGATAGGAACCGAATAGGGACAGCAGGATCTTTCCCACATATACTCTGTAAGTGTTTTTCCTTACATCAAGAGTGTCTGATGTACGTGACCTTAAGCAATTACCTTGAGAGTGCTAATAAGGTAGATTACAGATACATAGCTTGAGAGAGCTAATCAGATAGCTGCTGGGCTGTATTCACCACAGATGAGCTCTCCTGCATGATCCTGGCTGTTATATCATATCCTAGAAGAGGCAGCAGCAGCAGAAGGCACTCGGCCACGGGCGGCTTTGATCACACACGTGCCTGATGTGGTCCCAGCTCGCACCAAGCTGCGGCAGCCCAGCAAGTTAGTGCCCATCCCTGGCAGCCTCTGTGCTGGATCCCCGTGCTCAAACTGCCCCTCCAGGCAGTATTTTGTTTAGCTAGTCATGGTTCCCAGTGGGGTTTGACACATAGGTCAGGGCAGCTTATAAATGGGAAGGTTTTGGGCCTTTCCATCATATGTGCTTTGACTTTTTGCACTGTGTTAATTAAGGTAATGAAGTTTAACTGGATAGTTGCTCGAGTTCATGATTTAGTTCAGAAAATTGTTTTTTTTTTTCCCCCTTTATTTTTTCCTTCCCTCCCATTTCTTAATCCTGTGGCAATGGGGAGATGCAAGCAGCAGTAGGAGGAAACGATTCAGACTAAGAAGCAGCTCCTCAGTGGGATGAGGGGAAGCATTTCGCTTGACAGGGGTATCTGTAGTGCTAAGTTGATATTTGAGGTAGTTATCTAGACCACTGGAGTTCAGGGAGAAAAAATGATGCTTTTATTTTATGTGATCTTCTAAGCTGGGGTTGAGGGCAGCTCTGGTGAAAATCAGCATCTAAGGTTTTCTCTCTCTGTTTACTGCAAAGGTTTATGTGATGAGCTCTGAGGTGAGAGTAAAGTAAGGAGAGGTGAATGCTGCCTTGATGCCGGGGGTTTAGTGGTCTTGATGGACATTGCAAGAAATGTGAATTTCAAGGAGATGTTGGAGAGCAGTGCGGTGTTTTGATGGATGTTCCCCCAACATGTGAGGACAGATTTGCCAAAGTGTACAAAGATGCTACTCGGATAATGTGAGGGGAGGCAGAAGGCTGGTCCTGTGGGCTGATGAGGGATTTTGACAAGGGGAGAGGTGTGAGGGCTGGAAACGAAGACGAAGTTTCCTTTGCTTTGAGAGCTGGGCTGCAGAGAGCTGCAAGAGCAGCAAACGGTCTCGGCAATTCATTTTTCTGTCTGTCTCGCCCTGGCCTTTGGATGCTCTTCCTCTTCCTCTTCCTCATCCTTCTTTTCCTCTTCACCCTCCGGGAGGGTCTGGCGCCTCTCCACACACTTCAGCCTGCTGCTTAGAAGAGATCTGAACATCACTGTGGTGCTGTGGGGCTACAGCTGCTGTTGCTGAGGCCTCTTCGTGTGCCTGCTGGACCCGTCATCAGGACATGGTGCTGCCCCTCCTGCCCTGCTTGCTGGTGGTGAAGAGACCAGTCATTCGTGGCCAGAGAGTTGGGCCCATAAAGGTCCCTGAAAATCCATTTTAGTTTAACCAGGACACATTTCAGTGCAAGTGTCACTAAGTGCCACTTAGACAGATGTCCAGGAACTGCCTGAAGAGCTCACCTGCAGGTGAACGTGACTCCAAAAACTCACTCTCATCATGTAGGTTCATTAAATAACCTTCACAGGGCCTTCCTGCAGCTGCAGAGCAGAGACCTGCTGAGCCAATTTAGGTAGGTTTTGACTAAAACAGGGCTCAGATTTACAGACAAGGGCTTGGTGTGACAGTAAGTCCTTGGTAAATCCGTGTCTGTCATCACCTCCTGCTTTCGTGATTTCCACTGGTTACAGATCTTTGTAACAAAATATTCTTCCTGGTTTCTTTAGGGTGAAGAAACTGAAGGAAACCTTTGCTTTTATACAACTGTTGGACAAAAACATGAGTAACCTGCGCACCTGGCTGGCCCGAATTGAGTCTGAGCTTTCCAAGCCTGTTGTTTACGACATATGTGATGACCAAGAAATCCAGAAGAGACTGGCAGAGCAGCAGGTGGGAAACAAGAGCAGCATTCACGAAAGTGAATGAACTAAAATGTTGCTGAGYACATTAGTCCTGGCTTAAAATCACCCATCTCTTTTCTTTAACCAGGGCTTCTAGTTCTTTGCCTTTCACTGCATTTTCCTGCTAGACACTTGACAGTGGAAACTTAACTTTACTTGATTGCTGAAATTTCAGTATTGTTTGTGTTGATTTGCAGCATTTTTGCTAGTTTTACTTGGTACAACAGACTCCATAGGGGCTAGACAGGGATGCAGGCAGCAGGTTAAATCCATGAGGGTGACTTAGGCCCAGCACTGCAAATCTCAAGCKCTGGCTCTTCTGTGGTGGATTTAAGCGCAGTGATTCAATGTGCTGCTGCTCGCCCCTCTCCCATCCCGTCGCAAACAGCAAAGCTAGCTGGGCAGAACAGGATGTTTGAGCCCTGCATGGGGGCTCTGGAGCAAAAAGACCTTCGAGGGCTGCTCCAGGCTCTGAAATCCCCTCGGGCTCGGGAGAGCCGGAGCGTGAATCCTGCTGAGGCGCAGACCTGCCCCAGCACCACCAGGCCCYGCTCGAGGGCCTGCGGGCGTTTCGGCAGGAGAGCTGCTGAGAGGCCGTCCCGGAGGCCTGCGCTGAGTTAAGTGCCAAGGGTGGCTGGCGCRGAGCTCTACTTGCCAGCTCCCCCAGCCGAGTGCAAGTGTGGCGGGAGAAGGACAGTCCTGGAGCAGATTTCCCTCTGCAGCAGCTAGGGATGGAAAAGGAGMTTCTCTGAGACACTGCGTGCCGCGGGGCTGGCAGGTGGTGTGGCATCACCTGTGTCACTCCTGCTGCTCGGCAGGAAGAGGCCAAACACCACAAACTGCAGCTCCCACCATCTGATGTTTTCCCCCGCAGTGCCAATGGTCACACAAATATTTTCTCCACATCCAAACCCTTTGCGTTCTCGAAGACTGAGATAAATTGCACTGGGCAAAGGCATGGAGCATGGCAGAGCTGTGTCTCAGCTAATTGATTTCTGTTGTGAACATTCAAGCTGCARCTTGCTGGAGAGAGATCCTTGGCTCCTTGGAGCCGCTCGCCGCTTTGTCGCTTGGGTTCTGTTCCAAACAAGAGACCCTAGGGCACCTCTAGTCTCCTACTGTAAGCTCTTTTGCTCAGCTTTAGCAAAGCCCTTATCTGAATGCAGCAAGCAAAGAGATCTTCCCTGGGTTTTTGTGAACAATTACTTTGACAAGTGCAGAGTGATGGTGAGAAAAGAGCCTCACGGGCTGCTTTTGTGCAGCATCCATCGCTGGAGAAGTTTAATCTGTTCTGTCTAGAGCAGTGAAGGTTGGAAGGTGCCGGGCATGCCGGGGATGCTTGCAGCTTGTTCAAGTAAAGGCTTAAGATGTGAAACAAATAATGTCTGTGCTGGCCGCATCCACCACATCCCGCACGGTGAATTGTGACTGCATGTGGCTCAGTCCTTCCTTCAGGATCACACAGAAATGCCACTGGAGCCTGCCGGTGGGTGATGCTCAGCARCCTGCAGCTTATTGATTTCTGCAAGATCTCCCCTCTGCTCTGGTTGAGTTTCCTACAAGCTTTGTCTGTGTATTTTAAGGCTAGAGCAAAATCAATGCTTCTTTATCTGTTTACTGGAATAAGTAATACTATTTCAGTGAGAGTTCCTGTTTGCTCTTGTCAGTAAAATGCACTTTCTGTTGCTTTTCTTGCTGTTCTGGTGTAATTCCAGCAAATTCCCTATATCCTTCATTAGGGAAACCAAGAATGGGTTGAAATAAATGAAGTGCAGTGGACACTGTCATTTTGTTACCATTCACGCTTAGTAGTATTGCACAGAGCTGCTTTTTCAATTAGGATCACTTAGGTAAGGCTTTCTTCCTATCTTCCTAAATTGCCTTTATCAATAGTTACACTAGAATATGATGGAGAAACAAGCTGCAGGAGAGGAAGCTGCAGTGCAGATGTAGCAGAGGGTCCTTGTCCTTAAAATAGCTTGTTAAAGGAGGAGGTGTGGAAGGGTGAGCAGGGCAGTGCGGTGCAGCACTGMCTGCGCTGCGCCCCGCGCCTGTGATGCCAGCGTGTGAGCAGGGGGTCACTGGGGTGCAGGGTCCGGGCTCTGACCGCCCCGGCAATCTTAGTGTGTCCCAAGAGACACTGTTGTCTGGTGCTGCCAAATCCCTAAGTGTGTCTGCAGTGTGCGAAAGGTTTGGGTTTTGAACGCATAATAAAACGGTTYTGAGTTGGAAAGATTGAGAGTTTGCTGGGAAACCAGAGCAGGACAATCGGCCGGTGTGTGGCAGCTCCCTGTGCTGTCACCTGCACAGCTCATCCTGCACCCTGCTCTCCAAAGCTAAAGAAGCATCTGGAGAGGGTGTGTCTGAAGCTGAGCCATCCCTGTTGCCTTTCACTGAAACTCCTCTTCTCCCCATCACAGGATCTGCAGAGAGACATAGAGCAACACACAGCCGGGGTGGAATCTGTGTTTAACATCTGCGAGGTCCTGCTGCATGACTCGGATGCGTGTGCTAACGAGACAGAGTGTGACTCCATCCAGCAGACGACCAGGAGTTTGGACAGGCGGTGGAGAAACATTTGTGCCATGTCTATGGAGAGACGAATGAAGTGAGTGGCCTTTTTCCTGACGTTCCTAGAGAATCTGTGGCAGAACTTTGAGGGAACATTGTTGCTTTTGCCAAAAACTGAATGCTGAAGAAGAAATGCAAAGTGAATGGTTATGCTTGTGATAAAACTCTTCCATTTTTGCATCTGCTCCTCAGAATCGAGGAAACATGGCGCTTGTGGCAGCGGTTTTTGGATGACTATTCCCGCTTTGAAGATTGGCTCAAGTCAGCTGAGAGGGTGGCCGCTAACCCCAATTCGTCGGAGGTTTTGTACACGCACGCCAAGGAGGAGCTCAAGAAATTTGAGGTAAATTCTTTGCCTTTAGTTTTTTTATGCTCGCCAGGAGGCTATGGGGAGGTTGCTGAACACTCATTGTCCGTGTGAGACGCCTGGGGCCTCCAAAAAAACTATTTGGCCCTTTGGAGGTGGTAGTTCACAGCATGTGAATAACTGAACTGTGCGTGGCTGCCAGGCACCCAGCCAGTTCATTTGCCCCCAGGGGTTTGGGTGTAGAGGATCCAATWGTCAGCACTGACAAGATACTGCTTGTAAGTTAAAAATTTCCTTTCTGCAGGCCACACCTCTGTGGGATGATTTTTGTTTGATTGTTTGTTTTCTCCTCCTAAATCKGAGCAGAGATGGTTGATTCTGGTGATTTAAAATATGGGGCCATCTCTGCATTTAATTTTGAAGATTCYCCAAGGTGTAATTTTTGTGGGGAAGGGGCATCATTATCTCTGTTGATAGACAGATAGCATCCCACCTTTCTCCTGTGGGCAAGGCGTGCAAATTGGTCCCTTTTCCAGGCTTTCCAGCGGCAAATCCACGAGCGTCTCACCCAGCTGGAGCTCATCAACAAGCAGTACAGGCGCCTCGCACGCGAGAACCGCACCGACTCAGCCAGCAAGCTCAAGCAGATGGTCCACGAGGGCAACCAGCGCTGGGATAACCTCCAGAAACGTGTCGCTGCCGTTCTCAGGAGGCTCAAGGTGATTGCAGGCTGGATGAGAGACAGCAAGAAGCTCTTACAGATTCCTATAGRAATTACCAAGGGAAAAGCCCATGCTGGAGCAACCACCTTGTGTTCCAGCATTAGGGCACTCGAGTTACCAACCCGGGAGAGCAGCTTTGAAAGAGGTCGCTGAGTGTGGGGTATAAATATGTCCTTGAGAAAGGGCTTCCAGTTAACCAAGGGGACATAGGTAAAGAATGGCTGCAAAGGGTGTTTCTGTGACACTTCTGCTGGGGATTATTCTTTCTCTAGTCCAGTTAAACCAATTTCTGAGCAGGTTTCCTGTGCTGAGCACTAGGAGAGACTTGCAGCTGCCTGGTTTTTAAATGCAGCAGGGCTTCAAGTACAGCAARGCTGCAAGCAGAGGGGGATGACGAGGTCCCTGAGAGCAGCGGCTGAGGCTGCAGAGAAGGGAAGGCGTTGGAGCCAGCCAGGCAGGAGCTCTTGTGCTTGGGGTGTTTATAATGTGCTCCCTGAACACCAAACCCCCCGAGACAAGGGGCACGGAAAGCTGCCCTTGGGTTGAAGCCTTTTGCAGGAGGTGGCAGCAGAGAGACCATGTCCTGCCTTCCATGCCAAGTGGTGCAGTAATTACACCTGTGTGGGTACCCCTGTTCCAGCCTCTCCAGCGTTTGGCTGATTTTAATGCTGTTGCTTTAATYACCTGAGCTTGATTAGAGGTGGGGATGACTTTCTTTGTCTAACACTTTTCTAAATTTAAAAGAAATAAGATACTTAACCCTAAGTCTGAATGACTGTTGCAGCAGCATAGGGGTGTGGAAGAAGCTATATTTGTTAGGCGGTGAGGAAGCAACACTCTCCTTTCTTATATAAGCATCCTCTGCTGTTGAAGCTTTATTCCCTCTCCCAGAGACATAGCCTACCAGCATAGGATGCTTTATGCCAGAGTCATTGCAGGAAGGAGGCAGATAACATGTGTGACAAGCTGCCATGTGGGTCCTCCTGGCCTTCAAGGTCAGCAGCAATCTTGAAACAAAGCCTCATTTTCAGAGAGCTCCTGTCACCAGCTTTTCTCTGTAGTTCCCTGACCGTAACGTTGGCTCCCTTCCTGCTCCTCAGCACTTCACCAACCGCAGAGATGAGTTTGAGGGCACGAGGGAGAGCATCCTTGTGTGGCTCACAGAAATGGACCTCCAGCTGACCAACGTGGAGCACTTCTCAAAAAGTAACTTCGACGACAAAATGCGCCAGTTAAACGTACGTATCCTTTTAGAAGGGTTATTCATTATAGCCCAGCTGATCCTATTGGGCTACTTTCTCTTGGTGGTATCTCCTACTTTTCTGGAACTTCTTCAGAGCCAGCAGGTCTCTGTGGTTGCTTTAAGATACCAATAAACTGATTCTCTGAATCAAGATCAACCAGATTTAGGATTCAAATGCACGGTTCTGTTTTCTCCTAACAACTTGATATCAGTGACAGAGCCCCTGGGGGTTAACAGTAAAAGCCACATGCCTAATTTCAGGCGCTCCTTTCTGGTGAGATTTTTTTCTGAACCAGCATWAAGCTACGGTCTCTTCTCCAAGTGAGTTGGTTGTAATTGGGACTGTTAAACAGAAATGGGCACATGTTTGTAATGTTTCTAAAGGCCAGACTAGTTCTTTGCTGCTGGCTCAGGGCCTGATTTCACCTTTTCACTTACCCTGTGTTGGGATGTAGATYTGTTGGGAAGTAGATTCTTTGCAGGCCTAATTACAAAAACTTTGTAATAAGTTTTCTTTTATGTTCCAAATAGGGTTTCCAGCAAGAAATAACGTTAAACACCAATAAAATTGATCAGCTAATCGTTTTTGGGGAGCAGCTGATTCAGAAGAGYGAGCCCATGGATGCTGTCCTGATTGAAGATGAATTGGAAGAACTTCATAGATACTGTCAGGAAGTGTTTGGGCGCGTTGCCCGCTTCCATCGAAGACTGACTTCCAGGCATCCTGTAAGAGACAAGAGCCATTTTGATGCTTTAGTGGGATTTTGGAGTTGGAATTGCAATAATCATTGCTTATCCATAGCAGCTTGACTGAGTAGATTGAGCTCAAAGGGGTCAGGAACATCTCAGCAGTTGTGCCAGCTTTGCTGCATTCCGGTCATCAGCAGCCATCAGTTTCCTCATGCCTCCCCTGCTGGGTCTCCATCTGCAGAATCTGGATAATAGTATGGAAGTAATACACAGGGTTAGTGTTTAGATGGTAGTAGCTTGAGGGCTTTTAGAGCTTTTTCCCTTTTTTAAAATTAAACATATCCCTTCTTGTTTAATTTCAATAACATGCCTAGAATATCCCTTTGTGGATGTACTTGTCAGGCTCCATCTGTCCACTTTTTTATGGAAACCCTGAACAGGGAAGAGCGAGCCCTTTATTCTTCAGTGGAAACATTTGGCTTTGGCTTGAAAAGAAAGAGCATCTCTTAAAAGGCCTGACAGAGGAAGCAGCAAACCAGAGCATGTGCAAGTAGCTGTTCAGCCCCTGAGCAGCATTTCATTGCTGAGCTGTTCGGTCTGCTTGGAGCCGGGTATCCCTTCCTGCAGAGCAGGGAGAAGTGTCTTGGTGCTGGCTGATGTGAGGATTGTTTTGGCAAAGAGGAAGGAGGCAGAAATTAGATTTCTTTTTAATTTGAGGCACATGGAGTCTGCTCACCACMAAACAGTCTCCAGTAGCACTGTGTTTCTCGATCATTTGCTTCTTCAGCAGCAGAGATTGATTATAATTCTTCCTAATATGCAATAACTATTCGTTATTTTTAGGGACTGGATGATGAAAAAGAAACCTCTGAAAATGAGACAGATCCCGAAGACTCCAGAGAAATCCAGAATGATCCCTGGCATAAGAAGGCCATCAGTGAGGTGCCACCTTCCCCGCAGTCCCTTTGTCACCTTGTGCCACCAACTCAAGGTCACGAAAGATCAGGCTGTGAGACCCCCGTCAGCGTTGACTCCATCCCGCTCGAATGGGATCACACAGGTGATGTGGGGGGCTCTTCCTCCCATGAGGATGAAGAAGAAGCAACGTACTACAGTGCTTTGTCAGGTGAGGACCGACCACCAGGTGTTGGGAAGGAGAGATGCAGGATGTCCCATGGGGGAAGGAAGGGGACCGAGCTCTTGCACCCACTTGGTTGGTTTTCAAGCACTCAGTAACTGCGAGCAGTCTCATCTCCCCCAAATATTGGCTCGTCTAAACCAGCCTTACGTTTTYGGAAACATAAGGTTTTTAGAAACCTTACTTTTTAGAATGTCTGATTTAAAAAACAGTAACGACCACTATTGTTTTGGTTTTGGCCTTTTGTTTTCCCTCCTTGTTTCAAATGTTTCTTTTTAAAAGCTGGAAAATACTGAATAGTGAGGAAAATGACATTATTCTTTTTTCAGATGTAGAAATCACTGAAAATCCTGAGGCATATCTTAAAATGACCACAAAAACTTTGCAAGCATCTTCTGGTAGGCACCTGCTAGTGCATGTGTCTGAACATGGCAATCTCCCTGTGCTGCACGCTGTATCCCTCAGCCTCTCTCATACATAACGTCTGCCTTCCTGCCTTGTGTGGACACCACGTATCACCCTGCCATGGTGCTCTTACGCTGCAGTATTCACCTGTACATTCCCAAGCAGTCACAAACATGCCATTTAGATTGGGCCTGGCAAATGCCAAGGTGGTTAACATGCATTTCATTGTATTAATCCAAAGCCTTTTGGTACTTTCTTGGTGGTTTGCGCTGGGTAGTATCACTGTTGTTGGTTGTTTCTGGTTTCAGTTGCCTGGTTACTAAGGAAAATAGTTGCAACTCCRCAAGTTATTTGTAGTGTTTTACTTTGTGTCCTGTCAATTAAATCCTGAATGAACATTTCCCAAATCAGGACTTTGTCTACACTTTTTGCTCCTAAAATGCATTGCAGATACGTGATATATTGTCAGGATGTAAACTCTCCAAAACCACAGTGCAGTCTATTTAATTAATTAATTAATTATGTTACTCATATTTGTACTCAGGCGTTTTCCGGAAGAAAACAGAAAGTCCCATAACTGCATGGCTCTCATCTCATTACCTTTGAAACACTGTTACGTTTTGCAAATGTGCATGCTTTGCAAGGAAAGCTGCAAAACTGTCATTTTGATGCCATAACTTGATGCCATTTTATCCAGAGCGCTTTCTAACTTGCCACAAAGCAGCTGCTTGATGGTGGAGATGGGCTCTGGCGTTCACGGTGCGTGGCTTTGATTTTTTGTTTCAGGAAAAGCTGCTGCAGAAGCCCATCCGTGGCACTCGCCGGGTAGCCCAGCGCGCAGGAAGCACCGGTACAACCAGGGCGAGATGGCTGGGAACGCGTTGCCTGGGCCCGAGACGAGCACCCCCTACAAGCCGGGCTATGTGAGTTGGGGGCGTCGTGGCACTGAGCCTGGCTCATTCCTGCATCGCCCTGTCCTCTTCCTCCTCCAACAGCAAGGAAAATCCTGGGAGGGGAGCAGGGAGAGTGCAATCTATGCAAGTTAGACGTTATTTCTGGTGGCTTGGCTAACAAGGGGGAGCCTCTCCCTCCATGTGCTCGCTCAGAAGGCTTCTCTGAAGCAATTCAGAGCAGTCATAGTAGTTCCCTGCCCCGAGTCAGGGTCGGGAGGAACCCAATTCCTCTATTGTCACAGCGGGACGAGTCTAGGAAGACTTAACTGTCCCAAGCAGGGGTGCAAATGCCCTTTCTTGATACTCACTTGCATATATTTATATGGCAAACAACCCCTATGGATGGTTGTTTTCTAGCAGCTTGCTGTGTAATGCGCTCCTGGCTCCGAGCCCTGCGCCGAAGGCGCTGGCAGGAGAGGTGGCCCTGTGTTGGTGCCCGGCGTCGTGGTGCTGGCCGCGGTTCCCTGCGCCGCCTCGCAGGATGTGGAGCAGGTCGCAGCCTTCCTGCCGGCACGGGCTGCTCCTGGGAGCCGGCTGCCTTTGTCACTGCTAACCAGAGCTGCTGCTTCAGGGTCAGTATTGCCAAGGGCCAGACCCCAGCAAATGCAGCTTGCTGGTCCATGTAGTGCAAAAGCAACTAAGGTGCAGGTTGTCCAGTCTTGTACCAACATGGGCCACTGTGGCGCGGGGCTGTTGAACAGCAGTATCGGTCCAGCTGCTGCAGTGAGACACACGTGAAGCTTGACCTCTGAGAGCTTGTTAGGAGCCTCCAAGGCTCGTCCTGACCCGCCAATCTGCCACTGCAGGGGAAGCAGCTCCGGCCCGCAGGCAGCGGCAGCACCGAYGCAGTTACGTCTGCTAACGTGAGTGACGAAGAGCCCCACGATGAGCAGGAGCTGGCGGCTGCCGAGAAGCGGGAGGCGGCAGGTACGGCATTCAGGCACKGAGCTCGGCTTTGGGGCACATATTTGTCCTGTGGCTCTCGGGGGGACCAAGCAGAGATGCCATAAAGGCAGACAGCCCTCCTGGGAGCGGAGCAGAAGGGAGCTGCAGGGCTCCAAGCTGGAGGGTTGCTGTTGCTCTATCCTGTGAGAAGGAGCTGCCCCCTCACTTGACATCATCCACTGTGCTTGCTCTTCCCAGCCATTACCTTTTCTGTCAGAACTGAGATTTTCGTCATTTAAAATGCGTTTAACTTAAATCTGGTTGGAATGAATGGGAACAATTTCACTTTTGTCTGGATTCAGGCTACTTCTGAGACTTTTAATCAGATTTCAAACCCAAGGAGTGGGTCCTTCCCTGGCTGAGACAAAACTACCATAGTTTGTTCTCTCAGGCACTGGTACATCATATAACAAGATACTAGAGCTTCCATTTACAGAAACGTTTTGTCCATCAAAGCTGCCACTGTGCTCTGTTCTTCACTGTGGTCCTTTCTTCTAAATAGGGCAAGAAGATGGTTTTCTTAACCCCTTGAGACCCCATTCCTGCTTTCAGGTGCTTGAGATTGTAATAAGATCGTTTCTGAATTACAGTTACAAAAGGGAATCAAGTGGTGAACAGTGAATGTGGTCATGTGGGCACATTACTGCCTCCGCTCTCAGAAACGGGCCAGAGTTGTGTCCCCTACATGAGGAACAGGAAAATCTTTGACAAAGATCTAGATGAGCTTCCAGAAACAGCATCTTTTAATGTTAAATGCCCAGGTGGCATCTGTGATGGGAACATCTCCTTTAGTGCTGAATAAATGAGATGTAAAACCAGGTCCTAACAGCTGAATCAAATTTTGTCTCGTGATGAATTTTTATGCATTCTGAGTCACAACCAGGTTCATTAAATTCCCTCTCCTTGCACTTACTCTATTCTTCCATCTGAATTAATCCAGCTGAATTAATTAACTCTTCAGTTAATATGGTTGGAATCCCATGTAGTGTTACTGTTTAATAACTTGACCTGGGRTAAGGAAAATACTGACCGCATGATCTCAAGAACAGTGGTGTCTGAATAAGAGTTGAACATGGCAGGAATTATTTGGCCTTAAGCGAACGCATAAATGTTTCCTTACCAAGCTGCCTAGTCACCTGTTTTGCCCAGTGTTGATCTTACTGATGATTGAAGCATTTGCTGTTCTGGCGCTTGTAGGCCTCATTGATAGATGGGAGCTCATCCAGGCCCAAGACCTCAGAAATAAACTCAGGATGAAACAGAACTTGCAGCAGTGGCAGCAGCTGAACTCGGATCTCAGCGACGTCTCTGCCTGGCTGGATGAAACCGAGGAGGAGCTGGAAGCGCTGCAGAAGGCGAAGCCTCCCAGCAGCCTGCAGGAGCTGGAGCAGAGGGTCAGGAAACTGAGAGTAAGTCACAGCAAGGCGGGAGGGGGGATTGCAGGTGCTGATGCTCTTCATCTCTGTCTCTTGTGCTCCTGGGATGCATAGGCAGCACGAAAGCTAAGGAACAGCAGCGTGCATATCCAGGAGAGGAGCTGAGCTAGTTCAGCTAAGAGGGCTAAAGAGGCTAGTTAAGCAAAACACTTCTGCCTTCGTCCGTGGAGATTAGCAGGAGGTGTCACAACATGCAGCCAATCTGAACTAAAAGTCTCTCCATTTCCTTACCAAGACCATTTGTTCTCTTTGAACAAAATCACTGAACCCAAAACTTCTCTCTTTTTTTTTTTTTTTTTTTCTTTTAGGGCTTTTTTTTTCTTGATCTGTGTTAAGCAAAGTTTACAAAGTTAAACAAATGACTTGGACTTGCCAAATATTTACAGTCTGGCCTTGTCATGGGGGTGAAGTAAATAATTCTGAGCATGGATATTTGTATTCCTCCTTGTTCTGTGTGCAGGGCCCTCTTCCCCTCCCCAAGCAAAACAGGAAAAGGCTGTAAATGAGCTAACGYAGCGTACCACCTAGGCTGTGTTGCATGTCTTCTTAATTGAATTAATTAGGAAAGGGGTTGCAATTCAAACAGGGAGACTAAGCAAGACCTGCCCTAAAGCCATTCTTTAATGAGGCAATATTTGCACCAAAAGTCTTAAGTGTAAATAAAAGGCTCCTTTGTCTCCGTCACCTGTGATCAGGCAGTTGGAGGAGTTTGAGGAAAYGCAGGACACTCTTTACTACAAAGACTGCTGCAACCAGCAGTCAGCCCCGCGCTGGCTGCAGGGCTCATCTTGCGACTCTGCCGGTTCTCAAAGCCTTAAGGACGGGCAGCACCGTTTGGCTGCAGTTCCAAGGCAGGAGAGGAGGGCAGCCAGGGCTGCAGTTTGAGGGGATCTGGACAGCGAGAGAAGGGGCCTGGCAGAAATTTTGAGATGATTACAGTTTGACAGTTTTGGTGGCCTGGTTTGGAAGATCAGGATCTCTTCTGTCCTGGGAGATACTCAAAATGAGTTGAAGYCCTGAGCAACCTGCTCTGCGTTTAAAGTTGGTCCTGCTTTAAGCAGAAGGACGGACTAGAGACCTCCCTTCTTCCCAGTGGTGTGCAGTGACAGCACAAGAGGCAGCAGACACCAAATGGAAACTTGCAACAAGACGCAATACCATCTCTGGGAATATTCTTCCAAATGTCAGGAAGGGCGACAAATACTGAGAAATGGAGGGCAGGTGGGGATTAAGCCATAAAGCCTGTGACTGAGGGGGAAGTGCAGGTTTGTTTTCTTCAGTGTGAAGGCCTTGGCTTCAAAACCAAAACAAAACAAAAAAATCCAAACAACTCCCTCAATATACTGCTCAGYAGTGGCTGTAAAGTCATTCAGCTGTCAACTGCTTTCCCCGGTACATGGAGCTCTTTTGCCTGCATAGATATATGGTCAATAAACAAGATGTAGTCAGTCAATCATAGAGGCTCCTGATGTGCTTTCCCCCCCAGGACCTGCTTAAAGCCTTTGATAACTACAAGGCTGTGGTGCTCTCAGTTAACCTGAGCAGCAAAGACTTCCAGCAAGCAGACAGCACCGAGTGCAAAGAGCTGCAGAACCGGCTCCGGCAGGTGAACCTGCGCTGGGAGAAGGCGACCCAGGCGCTGCACGGCTGGAGGAGAGGCCTGCAGCAAGCCCTGCTGCTCTGCCAGGTGACTGACCCTGCTCCTGTAAGGGAAAACCCCTCAAGTGCCACCGGGAAGAGGCAGGAGAACKCCTGCCCCTACATGGAGTGGCTGCGTAGAGGCTAAGACTGATACTGTCTTTGTGTTACTAACTCGACTTTGCTGGGTTTGGAGGCTTTGGTAAAATCTTTGAGCTGGATATTACCCTTTTATTATGCGGAGCGGCTAGCTTGCTAACTCTCTGTAATCATGCATTTCCATCAGCTCTTTCTAATCTAGGCTGTGCATTTTATTCATAGGCAAACCCAGGTGGAAGCACCTCAAAGGTTTGGGCTTGGTTTGTTTTCTGTTCTCTGTAAATGTTCCCTTGTTTCTCCAGGACTTCCACGACCAGAGTCAAAGGTTGCTGCTGTGGCTGGCCAGTGCTGAAGGCCGGAGGAGCGCGGCACAAATCACGGATCCAAACGCTGACCCGCACACCGTGCTGGAAAGCCACAAGGAGCTAATGGTGCGTGGGGCAGCTCGGTGCTCCYGGCATCACCAACTCGCCACCCGCTGCAGACAAATGCAGATATTTGGCTACAGCCCCTCCTGGAAGCCACTCCATCAAACAGGCAGACAGGGCAGGTTTCTGAAATGGGCTACGAGATTGTCTGGATCTTTCCAGAACTGGGGATCATAATTAAGATCCTTATGGAGAGTCCTTATCCTGGAATAAGACCTCCCCACACACACATCCCCGTTATAGGGTTGATCCCTATGGCTCAGTTACTGCCAGAACTATTTCTCATCAAAGTTTATCAGGTGCCGCAGTATTTTAAGAGAACGTAAATCCTTTTGTAGCACCCATTCCGATCTGTTGTGACTTATCAGGCAAGTTGAGTTGTTCTTCATATAGTCTCCCAAAGGTTGTCCTTTATGAGAACAGCCTCAAAGCTGCAAGCAATAGTTTGTTGCACTGCTGAGATTTCTTTGTTTCTCTCTTCTTCTTTTAAGCAACTGGAGAAGGAGCTGCTGGAACAGCAGCTTAAAGTAAACTCCCTCCAAGAACTCTCCACTTACCTGCTGCTTAAATCAGATGGGGAAGATTACATTGAAGCTGATGAAAAGGTCCATGTTATTGGAAAGAAACTGAAACAGCTTATTGAGCAGGTTTCACATGACTTGAAAACAATACAAGGAAATCTGGTGAGTCAGAGTTTAAGTAGTTATTTATGGATACTACTGAAAATAGCAACTTGCTTATTAAGAGTAAAATAGTTTCTAAAAGACTGACTTAAAACTTAAGTGCTTCCACTTTCATAAACTGATGACCAGCTATAAGGAAAAACTGTTTTACCATGAGGCTACTCGAGTATGGGAAAAGATTGCCCAGCTAGGCTGTACAGTCACCAGCCTTTAGGCATTTCGGGATCAGATGGGATAAAGTCCTGAGTAACTGGATCTGGGCTCGTAGCTGAACTTGCTTTGAGCAGGAGGTTGGAGCAGATGAACTACCCAAGGCTCCTTCTAACCTGTTTAGTCCTGTAACCCATAGCAATTATCAAATATAGGCGTGTGGCCATAGCATGGGGGAGCTAAGCAAAGGACAGCTATATGGAATTTGTCAGTCAGCGTGTTCTCAAGCTAACGCCTGTACACACATCTGCTCCAGCACGTTCTGGCTCTGCAGGGCAAAACATTTATCAGGGACAGAACAAGTGGAGCATCTATTGTTACCTGGTTGTGCCCTTGTAAAGAGTTACCTGGCTGGGCACCTCTAGCGGGGCATGAAAGGCAACTTTTGGCACTTGAGCGACAGTGAGTTTTGACATGCACTTGTAAGAGGAACGTGCGGTTTCCCTGCAGGACAGCAGTGCATTCCTGCCAGTCCCGGGTGACGTGGACTCAGGAGCCCATCACCCAGTGGCAGCCAGAGCCAGCCCTGCTGTAAAGAAGGCAAGTCTTGTCTTTTTTATTTTTTTCCTTATTTACACTGTCAGCGTGTTGCATAGTTGGAAGTACTTRGCCTACAACTTTCTCAGGTGTAATCATTTTACCTTTTAGATGAGCAGATCTTATTACAGAATGTACAGCAAGACTCAAAAGTTTACAGCTGTGTTTTTCTGAGTAAAAAAGTCTTAGCTGTGCTTTGCCAAAGCTGGATAATAAAAGCTCTTTCTCTCAGCAGGCCACCTTACGGAGACCTGTAACTGGCAGAAGCAAAAGCAGCACCAGGTAGGATTTTATTTTGTCCTCATGTCTTTAAAGAGCAGTAGTAATGGCAGAGGGGGGGCGTGGAGTACAAGCCTCAAAGAAAGCAGAGACATCTGTTCTTTATAGGTTAACTTAGGTACACGTGGAGGTGATTCCTGTCTACATGTAGCATCTCCTCTGCATCTTGGGGAATTGCTTTCCTTTGGCATCTCTTCTCCTAAGCCTCTGTGCAGCAAYTGCAGCCTCTGTGCAGCAATTGCAGCCTTTGCTTGCATTCAGTCTTGAGAAAGGCGTTCTTTATATTTCATTTTTGGTGCCAGATAGGAGAATATTTTAATTTTTAAATGTTCCTTTATTTTTTTTGTGCAGGTTGCCTTTTTCTGTAGTGAGGACCCTAGAGAGGGAGTTCCCATAAGTGACCTCATTGAACCTCACCTCTGTTTTTGTTCCTTTGCAGGGCCGAGGGCCACTCGTGCGCTCCCCGGGCGGCTCCGGGCTCCCCGTCCTTCTTCTACCGCGTGTTCCGAGCGGCTTTGCCCCTCCAGCTGCTCTTCCTCCTGCTTCTGCTGCTGGCTTGCATGATTCCGTCCTCCGAGGAGGACTACAGCTGCACGCAGGCCAACAACTTCGCCCGCTCCTTCTACCCCATGCTGCGCTACACCAACGGGCCTCCCCCCACTTAGAGAGCAGCCTGGCAGGAGTCAGCTCGACCAGACCCACGCGGTGGTGCTTGTGCTCCTGCTGCTGGCGACCCTCGGAGCGGGAGGGCTCCGGACGGAAAAGCTGCATTGGGGCCCCAAACAGCACCCGTGTCCTGTGCACCCCTGCCCAGCTGCTGCACCTAACTAGCACAGGGAAGGTGTTCGTTTTCACCACTCAAAATGTATATCTTGACAGMATTGCAACTCTTTTTGTACAGAAAACCAACTTTTTTCTAGAGATTTTTAAACTATAAGCAACACTTTATACTTTGATGCAATAGATCCAGTTTTTGTAGCTACAGTCCTCTTAAGCTTACTGAGTTATCAAATACAATTCAAAAAAACTACTGAGTGAGTAGATGCAGAAGCTACATCACAGTAATGTAATGCAGAGCAATCGCTCATGGGTGGGCAGGATAAACTTGCATTTTAAAAAAAAAGAGGCACTTTGCCTGCAATGACAATTGCACACAGTTCACATTATGTCTATCTTTTGATATTCATAAAAAGAAAATTTACATTTTTTTTGAATCTTTGTTTACTCTATTTGATTCACCTAACACAGTCAATGAAAGGGTGCACACTTGTCTCACATGCAGTGTTCTAGGGGGGAGGACTGCTGTGTTGTCTTTTTATACCACCTCYGACCTAAGAAATTGTTCAATTGCATGGAAGTGGTTTGTAATGCACAGATTTTTCTAGATGAACTCAATTATGTAGACTATCCCTGCTGTATACAGATTATGTAATGACTTTTTTTAATGAAAGATTTTTTTTTTCAGTTTTTCACCTGCTGCTGAATAGTGTACAGAATCTTGGCGAAAAAAAAGTGTGTTTTTATAACTAACCCTGAGCTTCTTTGTCTTTGAACTGAAACCACCACGGGGGGCAGGGGAAGCTTTGTGTCCAGCCCCGTGGGCCCGAGCGTGGCCCCTGTGCAGCTGGAGAGYTGGCAGTAAATTGTGCCGGTGGCTGCAGGGCCGGTGCGGGGTCTGGGCTGGGGCTACCAGCAGAGCCTGTGCAGCACCCAGCCTGCCTGCASCTGACCCCCAGCACTAGGTGTTGCACAACTGTCCCCTGCTTAACAGGCTGCAGCGGCCTGGCGGAGAAAGGCAAGGCTAAAATGAGCACAAAATGCCCAACAATTGACCAATTCAACAAAGTGAAGCTGGTTTCCTGCAGGTGGGTGCTGCAGCATGGTGTTAGGGCCCACCAAGGCCCAGCAGGACAGTAAGGGAGAGTGAGGGGGGCATGCTGAGATTTTAGGCACTATTGCAATAGGCTCAGAACAAGGTCCTGCAGCAAACAGCTTCTTCCCAAGCCCTGCAGAAAAGCACAATAGAGTCCCTAATTTTTTTTTTTTTTTTTTTTTTTTTTTTTTTTTTTTTGAAGTAGAGCTAAACAGGGCCTGGGAAGGCAAAGTTGACATTTCTGGTGCTTTAGAGGAGCAATAGCCTATAATACAGTAGCAGCTACCCCTAACTATTTGCTCCAGTACAGGCAGGACACCCTTAGGTCCACATGGAAGGGTCCCAGCAGCCGCCCCAGGAAGYGCCACCCAAACCCCACCGTGTTCCCAGTCCCCTGCATGGCTCTGAGGTGGGTGCAGGCCCAGGCACCCTCACGGCCTCACACTGAGGCCCTGACCACGGGGCAGCTGCCCAAGGTGCAGCCGGGGGACAGTGGCTGGGGAGCCCCTGCCCACAGCTACCTGCCCCTGCTCCCATTTACCCTAATCCTGTATTTTGAGAGCACTTACTTTCAGCTGGAGCTCATTTAAGTCAGTATTTCTGCAGCAGTCAGCCAACTCTAACCATTATTTCATTGCCAGGCTGTCACAAATGCCCATGCAAACCTTCCTGCCACGGCCGAACAGGCAGCTGCTGACACGATACTCAGGTCCTCTGCCACTAAACAACCTATGGGGAGACCAGGGGGAAGAACAATGTTCAAAGGGCCAAGAAAAAAAAAATCTTATGCCTGCAATTTCCTTTCATTATGTGCAGTTATAGCAAATGGTTGCACTGATGTAATCTATAACATGAGGTGCTGTCACAAAATAATCTCCTGATGTCTCAGAAAAAAAAAAGGCCGGGAAAATGACTCCCCCCCCCTCGAATGTTATTCCAAATAGTTTTGCTCTACCCCTACTGATACTGAAGGCTACTTCAAGCATAGCAATAGACTCACCAATTTCTTGGCGCTGCTGGCTCCCTCAGGACCAGGTTCCCAGSGGTGGGTGAAGGGCGATGCGGGCGCCTCAGCCCTTCCTGCTGCCTCCGTGTTTTTGACTCCAGCCAAAACCCRGCTTTGAGCTGAAGCCCTGTCCATGAGTGCAGCTCCCGCCGCCGGCCGAGGGCGCCGGGTGCGGAGCCACGCGCGGAGCCGCCCTCCGGCACCGTGATACTCCCCAACACGTGAGTCCCGCAGGATCCTGTAACACCGCGACCGTGGCACTGAGGAGATGCTGAGACACTGACACCACCACCACATACACCCACCGTGAAATTAGGCAGGTATCAGCAGGAGGACAGACAGACAAAGGCACTTTAGATTTAGATTTCGTGATACCTGTTTATTCGGCCACAAATACCTACAACAGAATCAAGTGCTCGGCCATAGAAAAATATTCTAAGTTCACAAATATAAAAACCAGCTGAGAAAAAGGTAGAGTTCCCCCCTRCTTTGTATCAACTACACACAGTGCTTCAGAAACTGCTGGATTCGATCCTAAAGCCATTTCCATTATAAACYTTCAGGGAGAGCAACTCTGTGCTTTTGGCTCGCTGTTTAGAAAACAGTGACATGGAAACCCACATAAAGGGGGGGTTTGACCAGCAGTGCCTGAGGAGACAGACCCCCCCCCCGCATCCCCCCCAGCCACCGGGAGCGTTGGCCGCGCGGGCACCTCGGGAGCTGCCGCCCCCGCAGCAGCGCGGTGCCCACGGCGCCTTTGTGCCACACGCGGAGAAGTCCTCGGCGCTGAACAGGACATTAGGGGCGCAGGGGACGCCGATGCATAAGGGTGAAGGGCTCAGAACTATCCAGCGCCCAGGCTGATGCCGGGGCTGTGAACCATGACACTCAACCCGCCACAGTTCAGCCCCGCAGGAAAGCTCTGGGAAAACTGAACCCTCATAATCCGTAATTTTGCAGCCCACTTCTTTCCCCCATCTTTCCTATCCATAATTGCAGGGTGCTCGGCCGCAATTTAGGCACTGGTTCAGCACAAAACACAAACACATCCTTAGCAGAACGAGGCAGAACAAGACTCATGCAGGACGTAAGCAGTAACGCCAAACGATYTCCTCCTAGAAGCAGCCTGGCACCATTTCCATGGCTCCCTGCTCGGATGCTCTGGGACAGCCAGAAGACCCCCCCCCATCATTTAAAGCAAGGTGGAGCCGGGCCGGGAAGGGAGGCAGCGACTGGAGGCCGAGGTGCCAGCCAGGAGGGCGCCACCCAGCCCTGCAGAGCAGCGATGCCCGTGGCGGGTGTCAGACTGTGCTGCCTTGGGGCGCCTCGAGAGGTTCATGCACAAAATGAGGCCCTGCAGACCCACACTTTGTTTTCCTCTCAGCAGCCCCAGCAAGAACTGCCTGCTTCCCACTGGTCCTCCCTCAGGGAAGGAAGAGTTCCTGCTCTTTGCCATGGCCTCTCTGCGCTAAGGTCAAAACAAAACTGTAATCACAACCGCATTTTTAATAGATGAGGGTTAAAGCACATCCGAGGAAAGAGCAGCCAGCTCATCAGCCCACAGCTATTTTCTGTCATCTGCACAAAAGAGCAACCTTGGCTGCTCAAAGCTGCTTTCGGGGTGAGCTCCCAAAGGCTGCTCCACGCGGCTGGGGCCCGAGCCAGGCTTAGGCTTCCTTGCTGGGATCCCAGGGGCCCTGGAGCAGCCCCCGTGATCAGGCCCTGCTCCCATCGGCTCCTCCGGAGGGACTGTCCCAAACCCCTTCCTTCTAGGCCCATTTATACACACGTATTTCAGTCTCCTGCAAGGCATCCTAAATCACGTCTTCCAGCAAAGGCCAACCACGACAAAACTCTTACCTCAGAAGAGGCTGGAAAAGGCTCAGGAAACAACTTTCTGGTGGCATTTTCAGGATCTGGGAAATGACTCTAGTCAGAAACTCAACGAATGTCTTCCACATCCCACACACCCTCAGAAGGAAAAGGTGGCAGCTCCAGCACTAGAAAGACGCTCTCTCTTCATCTGAACACTCCCGAGGTGGATCTACTTTCCATCATTAAGGAATTAACTGCAGATACCTCCATGGAGATAAGCACATTTATTAGAAAAAAAAATAAATTGTGGGCTCCCTTAGCCTGCTGCTTTCTTGGAGCACCCTGTGTGCCTTGAGGGGAACATGCCAACACACCCCTCCCCACACATTCCCCTGCSCAGCAACATGACAGACGACACCAAAAACATGTAAATCTGCTATGAAGGTGGGGAGAAAAGCTAGCATTCCTGGAGACAAACAGGTATCAAACGCCTGCCCCCAGGAAACACCAGTCTCGCCTCTCTTGTCAAAAACCAGGGCTGTTTCACAGTCAGGGTTTATTCCACRCTTGAGAGGAACCTCGACGTGCTTTTGATAGCGCTCCAAGGAGAGCCCTGGGGCTGCCCCGAGGCCCTGGGGATTCCCACGGGGCCATCTCTGCCCCCCGGCTCCTCCAGCGCCCGCGGCGCCGGTTCTCCAGGCCCGGGCTCGGGGGCGGAAGCCGACGCAGGACGAGGCGCCAGGCGCCGCAGCGGCGCCACAAGGGAAGCTCAAACTCCCTTCTTGCCTCCTGCCAGGCCAGAGCCCATCAGCGCCGCGGTCGCTCACACTGCAAATGGGAAAGTGGCATTTCCCAGGATTGCACGCGGGGAGCAGCCCGGCTTCGTGGCCGCTGCCCCTCAGCACCTGGAACGCCGCATCCGAGCGGATCCGCGCGACTGCCGCTGCGACCACCCCAGCTCAACACACGGACGCCCTCTCGCCRTTCACTGTGTCAGCAGCTCCGTGCCTACAGACCGGGCCCTTGTACCRGCACAGGCCTTCGATTTCTCCAGACTTATGTTAACCCCAAAGTTTCAGCAGCTCTTTGGCTGTTGCCTATTTTAAAACACAATTAGTAACTTTAAAAACCACGAGGCTCAGTAAGACCAAAAAAAAAAAAACCCAAAAATCCCTGTTCAAATCACAGTATTTTCCTATTTATCCAATGCCAGTAACAGCATGTATGAATTCCAGTGTGTGGCATGGATTCACATCACTGCCATTATACACAGTCAACCCGGAACAAAGGAGAGTTCCCTTCAAAAGTTAAAATTAAGGTTTATACCCACTCTTTCCCATTTTCTTTTGAAGAGGTTTATTTTAAGACCGCTCATAAACTCAGCACTTTCAACACAAAACAAAAAAAAAAAAAATCACTTAAACATTTCTTTGAAAAACTGTATTTAAAAAAAAATTATACAAGATGAGAAAAGTGAGAGAACGACAACACAAAAGGCATTACAGCCTAAGGATCAAGCCCAAGAAACACTGAAATGTGCCCGTTTCACAACAGAACTTCACCCCAAATGAGCAAGTACCAATGAATTCAAGACTGTACTTACATTTTTTTCCATTTGTAGTAGTAAATATGACATTCATTTAGAAGGACACTGCTATATTACATTTTATTAAAAACAATAGAAAGGTAGCTCGTAAAAATTTAGACCATSATCAGCATCTGGTATACTACAAGATCAAAACAAGACTACAGATTTGTATAACTTGCTGAAAACTCTATGTCCCTCCTATAAAAAACATTGTCCTTGGCTTCAAAAAACACCAACACCAAAGGTGTGACTAATACTCCAAGTATGCAAAGGGCACACTCCAAGTCCCTAATCCAAAAGACTTACTTGGCTCAAAATAGACTTTAGGCGTGATCTCAGTTTCATTTCACCTTACCTGAAAGGCTCAGAACATGCATCAATAATATATTTATATATATCCATTTACAGTGACTGCAATTCTTGCTCAGGGCAAATGCAACAGGGGCAAAAATGCAATAGTCAGAACACAAGATGCCATCCTGCTTTTCACTGAGGTTTTAGGCCGGGCTACTACTTTTTTTTTGGGGGCTCCATGCATGTTAATAGAGCAATCAGCAGAGCAGGAGGGCTCAGACCTACACTGCAAGTGAAATTCAAGCAAGTCGTCACACTGGGAAGCAAAGGAGGTCCCGGAACGGGCACCACGTGGCCCTGAGGACCGTCCGTCTCCAGGTCCTTTCGCGTGTCCTCGTCAGCAGATCACACACAAGTGCCAACAGTTAACACTCACCTCGCGACCCTTTGTACCTAAGCATCACAATAGGTTCAACATCATTAATAAATATATGACACAACGTGTTATTCTCACAGACACACACATTTCAACGGCTAGCATTGACTGAAAGAACCAGGCAGCTTGGTCATCATTTAAAGCACTGAAGAATTACACACAGCCAGTAATGTGAGTGTCAAGAACAGGCTGACAAAATATAATCTTAAGCTTAAGTTTACATTTCTGAAGTGACTGGAAATCAGTCCCAGAAGCTACTCRAATGGCCTTCAAACTACGTGTCCCTCTTGCAGCCATTGTATATTTATGAAGGGAGGAAACTGCTTTGCACTGTGTACATATCCYAGCACTTTATCTCCATCAACTGCAAAGCAGATACTCCCCAGTGACCAGCACACACGAGCAAATCTCTCCCAAACGATGCAGCCAGACACTTCATACAACCCCATATTAAGAGAGGAGATAGTCAAGTCAGTGCTTAAAAACTGGTCTGGGAGAAAAGACCCCTAGGAGCTGACTCTGAGACCTGACACAGGCTCCTTCTGTCATCTTAAACCAGTCACTTCACGGCCTTGTCTCAGGTCACCCACCTTTAGAAAGGAGGGGCAGCAGTTCCCTCTCCCACAGCAGCGTTCTGAGGCCTAATTTCATAAGGTGCTTTTTGAAGAGTCTCAGAAAAGGCACTATAAAAGTGCAGCTATCATAACGTCAGAAACGTGGACCAGGCTGTGCGTCTCATAAGCTCTTCCCAAGATACCCATGTGCAAATCTAAAAGAGAGGAGGACTCGCACGCGGTCACCTCATCTCCAGTGGTCTCCCCACAGCAGCTTTGTTTTCTCCCGTGACTCCGAATCAGCTCCACACTGCTGAGACACTCCAGGTCTCCATGGAACTGGGGGTTGCCCCGTTTCACAGACCGTCTCCAGGCTCCATCTGTTCTAACTGGCCAAATTCAGGGCTGGTGATTGGGGACTTCCTTTGCCCCCGCAGAGTGTGGGCATTCAACATCTCCAGCAGCAAGTCATAGACAGGGACCACGTTTTTGCACTTCATGCTCAGGAGATGCTCCATTCCCTTGTTACTGTGAATGAGAACAGAAAACAGGTCAGTGGCCCAGGTCTGACAGTGCAGGGAGGGACAAGACTTCCCCGGCTTCCAGAGTCCTCTTTTTACCAAGGGTTGAGAGGAATCAGTTGCTGCAGTCCCTAGGGACACTCAACACTATCAACAGTAACAGCAYCCAAATACTTTGGGGCTAGGTGTTTTACTGTCCAGGAAGGCAACGTTCATTTCACACAAACTGACTTCAGAAAATGATTCAGATGTGCTGGCCCTACTGGAGTCAAAGAGAAAGTCTCTTTGATGCTGTAGACACAGGTGYTCCACACTGTGCACCTTTATATGAAAGGGACATTTACAGTAAGTAGCTGCAGCAACTACTTTTCCTGACTGGACACCAAAATACACTGGCTAACTTTTAGCAATGCTTTTCCTCTGCATCCTGCCCAGTGTTAGATCCCTTGGAGAGCTACAGGCTTTACAAGTCACCTTTTGACAGATAATAAGCATCCAGTCTCTGGGGCTGCCTCGCTCCTTGGATTAATTATTATCTCTATGGTTTGTTTCTGGTCAAGGTTTCCCCCACAAAAAAAATACCCAGATCACAGCAGTGCCTCAGGGCTGGGAAGCAGGTTCGGCTGTGGGTGGTGCTGGCAGTTGCTGCAGGACCTGCTCTCAGACTCACCAGCAGTTCACAAATTGCATGTGAAAAGCTGCCTCCGGCCCAGTGTGTGCCCTGCTGCTGCCAACCTTTCCTGCAGGAATCTCCCCTCGGAGGTGCCTGTCCCCCTGCTGCTGAGCCCACGTGGTCAGATGTGTCCATCTCTCACTTGCATGTGGCAGCCCAGCCTTGGGATAGATAGAAACTTCCCTGGACACATGACTTCCCAAGCCAGGTGTCTGCTTGCAGAGCCCTGCTCAATACGTGAGGCCTTGTGTGAGAGTCTGCAGTGGGCCCGGCAAAGGGGAACGCTCAAAGAGGCCCAGGAGCTGCCCTGGAGCAGGGGAGCTCCTTGGGAAAGTGGGATTGTGCTGTGGTTGCACCACACACATCACCTGGCAGAAGTAATGTTCCAGAGAGAAGAGCTAAGAGCTGTTCCTGGGACGCACAACAAATTTGGTCTGGGACAAAAACGGTTCCCAGCGAAGAGTGTCCTTCTCCACACTCAATACTACCAACCAGTTTTGAAGGAGAAATTGAACTGAACGAACAGAAATGAAGAGCAGGGCCTGGATTACCTCAGGAGAGCTCCAAGTTCAAGCCTTACTTTGTTGCTGAAGCAAACACTAAAACCTTAGTATACATTCTGCAAATTTTACCTTGCGTGTCTGACGTGGGAGAGCAGCATCAACAAATTGGCCAGGCGAGTTGTCTGCTGCTGTGAGGGGATCCCACTCTTCGCAATCACCCACACTAAAGCATCTGTCACTACATTAAGCAGGTGATGCAGCTTCCTGTTGCTTTCAGGTTCTTCTGCTGACAGTGGAAACATACCTAAAGAGAGGAAAGAACCACGTGAATACTTTGCTACGTGCACTCCACCAAACTCCATCTTACATTCCCTTGCCCGAGTTTGATGGCCACGTCATACATGTACCTAATAATTGGCCCTAATCCTTCTAAGACAAGATTTTGAACGCAGTTGCTCAAGGAGCTCAGCCAGATTCCTTAATCTGTCTGAATCCTGCGCTCTTGGAGCCTGTGGGGGAGCAGATGTACTCTCCACTTCCCAGGGAGTTCTTCTTTCGTGTGGTTTAGTAACTATTATAAACCATAGTATTGTGCTTGCTCTAATATTGTCTGGCTGGAAAAATCCTTCTCTTAAAGAGATGGTTTCTTTCTCCTGCCTTAGGGAGAGAGGAAGAACACGGTGGGAGACACTGCTCATACATCAATTCTGCCCTGGTCTCCCTACTCCCTACCTGAGGAGAGACCTGGGCAAAACTTAGAAGGATAAAGCTGCAAAACACCTCGAAAATCGGGATTAAAAGACAGACTTTGACATGGAAGGAAASGTGGGGTGTTTTTTTTTGACAAATTTACATTTTGAATAAAATATATCTCAAGTGAGATAAAGTCATTAGAAGAGAACAGCAGAAGGAGGCTTCTAACCATCACTTTTTACTGGTTTTTGCTCAAGAGATGTCAAAACTGTGGGATTTTTGCTGGATATAGGGCCTATACCCTGTTGTAAGGACTGCAGTTGTGCTTAAATATTCCTTCTAAATTGTGATTCATTGGTAGAAATGCCATATATTTCTTGCCCTGCAAGATGAGTTTGAGAACAGGAGCTTTGCTTGGGATTGTCTGAAGTAAAGCCATTTTATTCCCATATACACACAGAGCAAAAAGGAGTTTGAAAGAAGTTGCAAAGCAAAGCTCCTGTTCTCAAACTCATCTTGCAGGGCAGCTGAGTACTTTTCTACCAATGAATCACAATTTAGAAGGAATATTTAAGCACAACTGCAGTCCTTACAACAGGGTATAGGCCCTATATCCAGCAAAAATCCCACAGTTTTGACATCTCTTGAGCAAAAACCAGTAAAAAGTGATGGTTAGAAGCCTCCTTCTGCTGTTCTCTTCTAATGACTTTATCTCACTTGGTATTTCTGCTGGTTTTAGGCACTGATTTCCTAGTCACCCAGTTAAATAACAAATACAACGTGGTGACCATCAGAAGCAACTGTGTACTCACTGGAATTGAGGAGGATCATTGCCTTGACACACAGGTACTCCTTGTGCTGCAGCTTCAGCTCTCGGAACCGCGAGGTCATGGCCAGGAGCATATCAAAGATTTCCAAAATTCCCTCTACGCATTTCCCCTCGTCCCTAAGGAAACACATTTAAAATGTTACTAAAAACGTAAAATTAAGGAACTCTGACTCAGCTTGATAAAAGGTATGGCATAAAAAAAGGTGAAAGAAGATCYACCCATCTTATCTCTGGGAGCATTCAAAAGGCTACAGAACGAAAACTAAATCCAAAATTATACTATTCAAAAAAGGTCAGCACCTCTGAGAAACTGGTTTTCTTTTTCCAGCATTTTAAAGTGCTTACAGGCTAGACCACAGGTAAGTAGGACTGTATTTCTGCCAGCGGCTTTAACCTCACGGTCACTGAAATTCTGGGTAGTTGGTCTGAAGCTGTGTAGCACAGTGCGGAGCACAGGACCAACTTGAATCATTTGCCAGATTTGTATCACAGGGAATTAAAACCACCACATCACTATTTGTACCTGACAGAGACCAAGGAATTGATGAATAAGAATGACTGATTCATTAAAATAAAATTCTAGAAACAATGAGACATCTTTTCTTTGCAAAATATTGTTTAGTTGCAGGCACTTAAACCTAAACAGATATGTATTTTTTATGTTTGAGGGTGATTTTCAGTGTAACTTTCTCCATTTCAAATACTAGAAATGTACAGAAATGTTTCGGAACATACGTATTGTGCCTGAACTAAAAAATAAAAATTATAAATTAAGAGGGAAAGCCCTAAAACACCCCACTGGGTTTAAAATTAAACAGCTGTTTTTAAAACACTGAAGTTATGTTCCTTTTTTTGTTGTTTTTGGATTTAAAATTCAGTGAAACTCCGTGACGCGCTTCCACGGTGGCTGTAGGAAGAGGTTTTTCCCCGTGAGGTTCTTAGATGAATCAGACTCAATGACAGGAGGAGCGAAGGCCTCAGCTCCCCTCCCGGGTCCCCACAAGGGTGCTGGGTGCTCTGGCCACGAAGCAGCCCCAAGAGGCCCACGTGAGCCAGGCCCAGCACGATCTCCTTAACACAAGAAGACAGTAGCSCAAATACTGCTCAGCTTCCAACGTGCTTTACGGCAAGGGGGAATTTTAAGGGTTGGAAGAGGAGAGGCTATTGGCAGCTTCAGGACAGACATGAGCATTAGAAAAGTTCTTGTTGACAGGCATCAGGTAGGGAATGTACCTGAAGTTGAGCTAAGATAAAAATAAAATAATTTACAAATTGCAGACCAGCTTCATAGAAGCATATCTTWAAAAGGAGAAAATAGTGAATGCCCAGATGCTTGTTCATTCCCGCTCTGCTGTCATGTGGGGACGAAGGAATCCATCAAATAAGCCCTCTCTATTCAGCACATATTAGCTCCTGCAGGGACAGAGTGTATCAGACATTTTTGGCAATTTCTTATCATTCCATTGAACAACCCACTATGTCCTTGCATTGAATTTCATGCGAGTGAATCACAATTTATTTCAAATCTTCTGTAAATTAAATTTATTGCCCTTCCCTTACTAATCCATTTTGCCTTCTATATATACTCTGATGTTTGTTATTTAGCTCAAACCACAGCACTGGTACAGATGAGAATTTCTCCAGGTTGGAAAGGTTAAAAGATATTTTAAAGCTAGCAAAGAAAGTAGATTGTTACTCTGACTTTTACCAATGTGAAGCCCCAATCAATTCTCCTAARGCCCTGTAGAAAAACATTCATATTAATCTATGTTCTACCTTGTGGTACATGATGCTATGAAGAAAGAGTTTTAAAACTTGAAAMTACTTTATTGAAAAAAACTTTGAGTATTACAACTACTTGCACAACAAGCTACAGAAAGATTCTGGGGCAGCACAAAAAACAGGGAGAAAATATAATCAAATGCATCCCAATTCAAATAAGGTGTGATACTATATCTGTTTTTTTCTCAAAGGGAAAAAAAGGAGAAACCAATTGACACTGTAGGACTTTTTAATAATGTGCCTACTGTTTTGGCATCCAGAGACCTGCATCAAATGGAACAACGAAGACAATAAGGTCAGTTAAAAGCACAGCAGCACTCAACACTTAAATACTAGAGAAATTAGGGAACTCACAGGCTGGTGTTACTCAACAATACTGTCTAGGCTCAGCTCTTGTATGTCCTTGGAAACATGTGGAGCTTCAATGACATCTCCATTGCAAATACAAGTAAATGCTGGGGTTATACAGCAGTAGCTTCTTCAACAGATACTTCTCTTTCTCCTACTGTTCATCCTTCTTCAAACACATCAATGTGAAATCCTCTAGAAGAGTGTATTTTCTTACCTGTCCAGAACAAGGTCTGGTGCAAAAATTAGTTTTCCAGGGTGATCAATGGATCTCCACATCAGGCCAATCATTAAAACTTCCATCCAGCAGCTCTCTAAAAGTCTTACTTGGTCATACAGGCTGAGATCAATGAAGCCTAAAACGATCAAAATACCATCAAATAAATCAACCTGTTAATTTCACCCATTTTCCCCTGCTTTCAAAACAAGTTCATGCCAAAGTTTTCGAAGAGGAGAAGCTTAAGTCTTGGTAATAGTGCTTCAGGTTTAAATGAGTTAGCATCTAAGATGCTGACAGTGAGAATCATTATGCAAGTAGACCATGGGAGATAGGTTTCTTGTAGCTCTTCTCAAGACCCCCGTTTGAGGTCTTAAAAAACACATTCTTAAAGAATCAAACTTCAGTAGTTGGTAAAAATATTCCATGTAATTTAATCTAATTGAATTACAGGGTTAGAAGGCAGCTGGTAATACCTACAGATCAATGAGACTGGGTAATACATTCTCTCCCCTACCAGGGACCAAAGGGCTACTTTTTAGTAGCAATAACCTTGTTTTTTATGTGTGAGAATGGGAAAGAGAAACCCACAGGCTGCACATAGGGATTTCACACTCCAGAGAACTTACTACAGAATTCACTGCCAACAACCATCGGCCAGACCCAAAATCTCGTAACTCATAACAACCACCAACTTTATTACAGACATTACCTTCCAAATAAGCATGACCTGCACCAACAGCATGATTTACAAACATAAACCTCTCCAGAATAATCTTTGCTTGCAAAGCTTGGAGACGACCCATCATCTCCTAGCACACTGTTGAAACTCCCATTTCATTGCAGGAGAGCATGTTAAACTAAGTTAGAGCTGTAATTTTCCATGGCTCTAGTACACGTCCTTTAAGTCATGTGCCCCATACCTACTTTTCTGTTCAAAAATGATTAAGACAAAATGCCACAGCAGCGCAGAAGGAATTTGTGCTGATGTGCAGTGACTCTCCAAAGCTGTGCTGCTCTGGCGAGCAACAAACTAAGTTGCATAATGGATCCAAACTTCAATATTATGGCAACATCCTATCGATTAGTGGGACAGTTGCAGCTATGAACTATGTTCAACTCTCTAGGACAAGGTCAACGGAGTTAAAGACAATTATAGAAACTAAATCCTGCCTTCAAGTACTCAAGTACTTGAAGTTTAGGAGTAAAGAAGCTAGGAAGCAACTGCTGGTCTGCTGAGCAACCACAAAAATACAATTCCTTGTGCTGAAAGTACATCAGAAATACAGCTACAGGGGAAGACTCAAAAGAGAAGTCATTAAATATCAATGATAAGGAAAAATAATAAAAGGTGAACTTTTATCTTTCCCATTTGGRGAGAAAATCAGTGCTAATATTAGCCTACATAATATAGGAGAAAATAAAGTGATTTTTCTTTCACTTTTGGTAAGCATCAAATATCCAGTAATAATCTGAAAGTGAAAATGGGTTTCATATCCAACTACACAAAAGCAAGTATCTTGACAAATAGCTCCACAGAAAGCAAAATTACTGCTTACTATGCTATTGGTGAAGAACTCTGCATTTTTTTTTTCAAAGGTTTTACTTCTAGGAACTGGAACATGCAGCTAGATGATTAACTCCAGGCAAGGATTTTTGAAAATCGTGGCATTTTTTGTCCTGAGCTTTAGTCATCATGGTTTTTTTTGAAAAAGAAAAAAAAAATAGAGCAGCTATTGAATGTAGATGAAACTGTCATGTTATATGGGAATATTAATTATAATCWGGATCATGCTAAATATCTGTTCAAAAATAGCGATTATTTCTTTTCTATGTAACACAAGTGATCAGAAAAAAAGAGTATGTGATAAAGAGTCGTCATTCCACAGAGCTGTTTGAACAGCTTTGATAGTTTCAGCAGGTTTTCTATATATAATTCAGTTATTGCCAAGAAGAAGGCTTGATGTGCGACAGATGTTGAAAATAAACTAAAAGTGAGAAATCTTCAGCCCAAATCTGGGGTTGTATGGAATCTGACAGAAAAGCAACACATGCATTTTTCCTTAAACAAATTTCAGGAATTATTTGGATTTCTTCGACTTTTTTTTTTTTTTTTTAAACTGTCTTATTTCAAGAAAGCAGAAATATGAACAACCTCAAAAACGAAAAGTCTATTTTTTATGAACAGTGAAAATTTCTTACAATGTAATTTAAAACTACTTTTCTTGTTTTTTTTCTCACTATTTGTTTCCTACCAAATTAACAGAACTGCATAGAATCCCCACAAATGGCACTTTTCAATCAAGTATTTCTCAACAAGAGAATATCCTAATAAACATCACTTAGTCCTTTCTAGCTATTTTCATTTTCAGATTTTCTTAAACCATGACAAATAAGGATGAAGGATTTGAGGATTCGTCATTAAATATTCCACACCAATGGCAAAAAAACCCACCATCCCTTTGCAAATGGCTCGTACAACTTCAGACCCTTGTGCTGTGCAGGTTTCCTCTCCCAGCAATGCAGTGTTGGAATGGGAATTTGCAGGCCCTGGGCAACACATTCAAGCCACCTCACCCGAGCCCTCCAAGAGGGTGGCCAAGCAGTGGAGATGCAGCCCAGAACTAGGAGATGGTGCCCAACAGCTGCAGCTGGAAACATCTCCAACCATTCTACCTAGACCTGAAATGGGAGGTGCTTTCCTCATTCTGCATTCTTAGTTTACTGATGCAGTCTGCACCAAAACTGTCTCCCGAGCACACAGTTCATCACCAGACGTGAGGATCAATGTCAAGTTTACCCGGGCTACATCTACACAGCAACAAGGCTCAGGCCTGCCTTGGGCACACTGCAGGACACGTTTGGGATTACTTCTAGCAAAGTACTATTTCCAAAGGTAAGGATTTAGCTGCATTCACCTATGTCTCTGTTAGTTGTTTCATGCTTCTTCCAGTTTATTATTATTTAGTTGGTCACCTTAGCACTCACTAAAGAGCAACCATCATGGTTTGGTCTATGCCTGCCAGCAAGCTTTTCTGCACACTTTGCCAATTATCTTCTCTACACACTGGCTACTTTCACTCTAGCTTTTAATCTTTATTCTGGTTGCTTTAACTGTGGGCCCTTTGTTGCAAATATTGACCAATTGCTTCTTGATTGTAAGGAGGGAAATTGCCAATTGCCATGGCACCATAGCCACATTCAAGACATTCCAGGTTGTAACACATATAGCTGTACTTTAGTGCATGTTCTTTGTGCTGCAAACAACTGAAAGCATCTCTGTTGATTTATGCTTTGAATAAGAGCACAGGATAAATTTTGAGATCGATACTGTTCCCTTCTCAGCAATACGATGCTCTTGTGGAGCAACTGTAGGAGCTAAAGCAATTACAGACACTCAGTGCTTGGATACTCTTAATCAGATTTCATCAACAGTAACAGAAACATTTCATCAGAGTTGAAGAATTTAGTCTTTATTTTTATAGCAATCTAGTTACCATCCTTTTAACAAAATTTCTTTAAACATACGAATGCAACACCGAGTGTCTTCTCATTTTATGAGTTGGTATTTGGCCAACACAGTGGGCAGCAAGTTATGTGTAAAGTCACTGCCTAAACTTCAAATGAATTATTCAGAGCAAAAAAAAAAAAAAAATGTCCATTACTCTTTTAGAATAAAAAGATTAATATTTTCATGTCATGCATTCACAGTCCTATGCTGTTATTTCAAGGTAGATAACAGTATGTTAAGGGTAACAGTGTTGGTCAGTATAAACAAAAAAGACTGAAATTCTTACCAGGAATCTTTTTGGCCCAACCAATCATATGAACCAGCTCTTTATCTGCCAGTTTTGTCAGGGACATCATCATGGAGGCCTCTGTGAAGGGCTTGCTGGGCCGACTCACCAACACGTTGGGAGGCTCTGCTTCAAGCAGCGTTAAGACAAACTGCTCCGGACTGACCGTGCTGAGGAGGATCTCCTTAACGCGGGTTGCTGCCTCGCTGTATTTCTTAGCTTTGCCAATACAATGCACTTGATCTTCTGAATTACGATGGCGACGCAAAATCCGGTACCCACAACGTTCCCTTCTTGAGCCTGAGACAAGAAGTACGTGATTACACTGAGGTATTTTCCTCTCAGTGTTGCACTACACAAATCCAGACACTTGGGGCAAATTAAAACCACCTCTAGTATTTTATAATCTAATACTGAATATCAAATTTCAAAGTTCCTAAAGCATTCCCCATTGAATTCCACTAACTTCAGCTGAGGCTTTTGTTTATTCTGCTAAACAAAATACAATTTTTAAAATAGTTCATTTCTGAACTCCAGTAAACTCATTCTAAAAGACCATGGGAAAATTCACATTGACATCAACAAGAGATAAATCAGATCTTTAAATGTAAACAGACACAGATGTTTATTTCTGTTTTAAAATTCTACTTTAGCTGTAAATTGAAATAAATAAGTAAATAAAAGGAGTTCTGAAAGTCTAGGCCACGATACTGAGTAAATGCCTCAGCCAGAAGCCCAGCTGAACCTCACTGCAAAGTGAGTGCTCAGCTAGGACTTACCGAGATGCAACCTGCTTTATCCCTGTGTCCTGTTAAGGCAGCGGGAGTTTCCCCACGTGAATTTGGATCTGGTAACTGTAGGAGGGAGTGCCCTGCTTGTAGTTCTGCATGCAGGATAGTTTTTTTCCTGTTGCACAGAGCAGTCACTTTTACAAACCTTTAAATTCCTGGAGTTAGTTTATAGCTATGACAATAGCAAACATCCTCTGGGTCTATTATTGCTGGGATCACCACTATGTTTTTTTGACTAGTAGGTTTGACTCAGCCATGACCTGTGACTTCTCTTCCCTCCTTACTACTTTAGCATAATCCATAATGAGACACATTTACCAATTTACAAGTAAACCTTAGCAGTCACTAATGGACAAGATTTTATCATATTAAAATGCAGGACACTTTGAAAATATTAAGTTCAAAATAGATCCTCTGACTGAAATGCTGCCGCACTTAACATTTTTGATATTGCAATTAAATTGCCTTCTAAATCACATAGTAGTGATTTTTTTTTGTGCTAGTCATCAACACTTTTAATGAAAGATGATACTCAAAGGTTGAACTGTCATATATTAGGATATGCTTGTGCTAGTATAAATCTGTATCAAACCAATATTTAATATTGCATACATGGAAGTTATAGATTCTTAAAGCATAGTAATAGGTTGCCTCATTTGATTTCAGTGCTATAACAAATTTGACAAAAGCATTCTTCCATCTGGTGTTACTATCCCAATATTATTCCCAATATTATCGCAGTTAGCAGGTCTTTCCAAGTGTTGTCTAAAGGCTTCTCACTGTGGTCACACAATTCTGTTCTTCGTTAGGTTGTGTGATTAAAAGATTATCTCCATAAAAACAAAGCAGAAGAGGAACTATGAGCATGGAAGGGTCCCCAATAAGCTAACTGGTGCCAAGGAGCAGCCTGACCTGCCTATTCCCACAAGAATCACCCAAGAAGGATCAGCTTGTGGCCTGGGTAGGACATCCACCAGCTAGTCAATGGGAAAGGCCTTGCAAGGCCATAGCTCTTAACCAGCTGCCAGGGAGATCCATTTGCACGTGTGTAGGGGAGTGCACGCACATGCACAAGGCAGGCAGGAAACCAGAGGATGCAGACATCAGATACTGAATGGTCTGAGTGTCTAAAATCAACTCCTGAATGGTCCCGTATTTTGTGCACCTCTTGTTGTCTGAATCTGTGTGGGAGGAGATCTCAGTACCAGCAACTGCAGCGCTGCTGCTGACCGTGGGGCTTCAAAAGTCCCAGTGCCAGCAACTGGGAACGCCTGGGGATGCAGGGGTCATTTAACTAACAGACTGAGTGCCTAACCTCCAGTACTGAAGGGATCTGTATATGATATATATATATATATATATGATTTTTGTTTTTGTGTATAAACGTAAAAATATTTTTCTGGAAAAACCATGAAGCCATTTTACTGTGTGTGTTCCAGGAGTGCTGCATTTTCTGTCTCTGTTGACGTGTGACGAGCTGTATACAGGCACATGTATAGGCACTATGTGTACCTGTGCCTAATGGGCATGCCTGGCTCTGCTATCAGCTGCACCTAGGGCTGTGGTAATGCAAGTCTCCCTCTCCTGAGCTACTAGATTCATGAACTCACAACATTCATCATCCACAGTCAACAGAGTTAGAGGGACCGTAAGTTGCCTTCATTCAAACCAGACACTGCAATTCTGGCCCCCACAGTCCATAAAATAAGATGGCCATGTTTAGACTCAATTAAGAGAGGGGGAGCAGGGACAATGAGAAAGCAACTTCAGGTGCCACTGATGAGGCTGGTCCTGATAAACAAGGTGCTGGTTAATGCAGTTGTCAGTGGTGGAGGCTGACCAGGGAGGTGGCTTGTCAGGTCAGTCTTGTCTTATCTTCAACTGCAGTCAAGCTCCCTTTGAATTAACCTGTGGGAAGGGTGAGATGCAAAGGCCAGTCAGGTACAACCTGAAGGCACTGGGAATATGGTACAAGGACTAACAGAACCTGCCAGGACTTTCAGGATGAGAAACTTAAAACTAGCATTACTCTAAACCTCACTTACTACCTGCTCAGTGAGCCACCTCAGCTGTGCAACAGAACAGAAGGGGCATTAAAGAGGGCAGTAATATTGGAGCACATCCTCTGCCTGGAAAACAAAGACTAGAGAAGACAGATAGGCAAAGTTGGCTCAAAGAACAGTCCTGCACACAGGGAAAATCCTAAAGGAATCCCTGTGGAACCAGGCATTTTAAACACCTGGCATTCACAGCTGGAAATAGGAGCCTAAAGGCTGCATCACTGAAAGCAAGGGTGGCTTTGTGTCCTTGAAAACAATATGGGTGTGGGTTGAGTAGTGACAGGCATTTACATAAATAACAGATTGCGGATAAACTACCAATGATTTGCAAAGCTGAATATCCTCAGCTTAGCTGAATGAAGCTAGAAAAGAAGCTGCAGAAGAGCCCGAACAGCAGTCAAGAACAGGCCATGTACCAGCAGGAAGAATTCAGAGCTGGAGACAGTATCCTATGGAAAAATTAATACATGAGCCTTGATGGTGATTCCCCAAAGAAGATTACTTGCAGAATCTCACCAGCCACAAAGCAGTCTCTTCAACCACCTGCCTTGACAAATCTTTTTCCTCCTGGGATTCAGAGGACAGTGAGGGACAGACCAACTTCTGCAGAGACGCGTGGATGATGCAGCAAACTCTGAGCTCAGCCTCATTTAGGACGAATGCACAAAGGTCAAGGGAAAATCCTGAAGTGCTTTGTCAGCTTCAGAAAGTCACTGCAAGGGCACGACGGGCTGCAGCCTGCTCTGAAGTCACATCACACACAGCAAGGTATGTAAATATTTTCCAGCAGGGATAGCAAAGAAGAAAGGTCAACAGTGACCTAAGCAACTGGATCTAAAGTACAGTCACCGGACACAGACCACAAAATGCCAGGGCATCAGGGTGCCTTATCTAGACAGAGATTTAATGGATCTGACTTCCACGGGAACACGCATGGTCAAGACTGCAATCTCCAGGGAACGAATGGAACTAAAGCAGAAAGCAACTGCTTAGAAAGCCAAAGCACAATGAACTTCAGCATCTGGGAGGATAGAATGACCAAAATAGCACAAAGACGCTAAAAACTGCTCCAAGACATTAATAGGTTTCGTTTCCCAGTACTTGGCGGAGATGTGGAACACCAAGAAACCTGGTTAACTGTCCTCCTGGTTAACTGTCCTCCTGAAGCGTTCCTGGCTCTGCTGAGCTGCAGCCCACACGTAAGAAACAGACTGAGGCTTTGGGGCTGAGGCCCGAGTTGCCCATTCCACATATTGCTGGTGTAAAGAGGTTCAGATAACACTGCGTAGGCAAATGAAAAAATTACCACACAAGAAGTGACCAGGTATTTTACAAAGATCAAAGAATTCAGTAAACTGCAGTCACAAAGACAGAAAAAAAATATTAAAAAAGAAGTCCAGCATTCTGTCCTAATTTCAGAATATTTCAGAATATTTCAGAAATTGTTCCAATTTGTACAATTTTTTTGTTCCAGTCTTGTACAATTTTAATCTGCACAGCTGTGCTCCATACTCTACCTTAAGATATTTCAGCCCAGGGTTTCAAATGCACTGACAGAATGAAAAGTCTCAATAACTGGAAGGTTCTGATTGGGAAGTAATAAGCTCCTTTAAGTTACCTGAAGTTATTTGACTAAATCAAACTTTACAGATAACTAGTACCTATGTTGAAGGAGCAGCATGTGGTCTATTTGAAAAAATAAAGCCAGCTTCTGTAATCACATGTTCATGGCAGAAGAACAAACTAGGGGAATTGTGACATTTCAGCATTAAATATAAACTTTTGCTAACTACACACACCCCAAAACCAAATACACACACACACACACACACATATATATATATGTATAAAATGAGGCAGAATATTGAATTACTGTTTGCATTTAAGTTGAAACCTGAATCACCGTCTAACCCACAAAAA